AAAAGTGGCCACTGTCCGGTTGGGGTTTCGAACTCGGAATCATTCGCCTATCGAGGATTTTTGAATGGTGATTCTATGGATATTTTACAATCATACATGGTTCTGAACAGTTTCTGAAGTGCATTTTGGAAATGCACATTTTGCGATACAAAAGTAGTCTGGCCAATTTTCCGATACATGTGTCACGGAGCAAACGGTGTTCACACCCTTCGAGCTTTTGCACTAACTTTACACGTTTCGGCTGTTATGGATGGNCAATATTCTCGAAAAAGCACTCAGACGATGTATCATTCATTCGAACAAACTGCTCTGTGACAATTCGAACCATGACAAGGATGTTTGGGTGCATAAGAAAAGCCAGAGCATTCAGTTGTATCTGTTTAGGGCGCTCCATATTGTACCGGATTCTTTTTGCGTGTTAAACAAATTACTGTCAAGAGTACCATATAAAGATTGACGTGAAATTCAAAATTTTTTACCGTTACTACGGCCATGTCGTTCAGAAAATGACGGATAACATTTAAAAATGCTTAAATATATGGATGTTTTTCCTCTCATTAACTTTCATAAAGTTTATAACAATCTATGCACTCGAACCCGCGCATTTTCACCGCTTCCCGTAACCAGTTCCCGGAACGCCAGTCCTGCATGAGATCGAAGCCCTAGACTCAGCTCGGATTCGTGTGCGGTGGCTTGCAGCTCCCTCCGGTCCGTCCGTGGATTGGTCTAACGGTACACTGGAAACCACAGTCAGACCATCCCAGGTTCAACAATTTCTCGTCCAGTGGTCCCCATTCCCGTTCACCGATTGGGACGAAAAGCGTGTTCGAGTGTTTGGTCCGGGCGGATCACATACTGTCCCGGGAAGACAAGTCTATGAACTCGTGATTGGTGGATTGTTGTCTCGGACAGCCTACCGAATTCGTATTACAGCTATTGGATCCGAGGGTATGGGCTCCGCATTGGATTTGGGTCCGTTGAAAACCAAAGGACAAGGTGAGTAGAATATTTCCTCTGCCATATTTGGTATAGCAACACTGTTAAGTAATTTATTCAGACTGTTTTCGACCATAACTTTCGCAATTCAAGTTGTCCGAATACCATTTTCTTTCCTGTCTCGTTGACCTGGTCGGAGCTGCAAAGCTCCTATACTAGTTTTCAGCTTCTAAGCTTCAGGTCCGGACGAGCGCACAGATTACTCAACCTCTTGTTGAAGCGCTGGGGAGACGTACCTCAATCACACACCCTACCCCGCAATTCTCATGCTATATCTTGGTTGTTTACCTTACGCATCTGTGTTTGTGTTCGTCCGTCTCCCCGCGGAAAACTCATATCAGACCGTGCTTCGCTGATCTCAGCGGATCATGCGCGATCAACGTCTGTGCCATTGCTTGCGTCCGTCGTGCGATGTTACAATAGAATTCATAAGTTTCATCTCAATCGGCTGCATTGAGACACGAACCGATCAAAACCGATCCATATACACATCATTGTGGATCTGATTCGCATTCAGATTAGGTTTCATCCCTGTGTTTGTCGTCACAGGTGCGCGAACAAAATGCAACCCTTCAAATACTGAACAATCAAACTGACCGCAGAGAACACATATCCAGAACGGAATAAGACATCTTTATCAAACCAAATGCGATTGAAATAACGTGATGAGGGCGATCGAAATATATCAGAAGTTTTTTCTGTATTACAGTTAAGAAATTGTGTTTTTAAAAATAATACAAGTTCAAAAATAGGAATGTTTCTCAAAAATGCAGTTTTCTGAATATCGGCTCCAAATTCGATAATCTTCATTTGGGAACTCACACAAAATAGGCCGGATAAATTGAAGCTGAGGAATAACATTCACAAATGATCGATGCAAACTGACTTTGAACAATCTTCGTGTCAACTAAAGCAAGTCGAATACGGGAAAGTGTGCAAACAAATATAGGGACATTGTAATTTTTCAATTCATTTTCACGATGAGAACATTACCGTGGTTGTCGTTAACATAGTGATTAATAAAACCACCACCAGTCAGAAATTATTAATAAAATGTTCGATAAGTCAGTTTTAGAAGATCAGAACATCTTTCGGTTATCATAACTGATACACAACGCAGTATTGTAGGGGGTTCTTGCAGTCAACCCAGGAAAACAATGGAAGCAGAGTACGAGTTGATGAATATCACACATTGGTAAACAGAGGATGAAACAATCTATGCCTTCGACGTGAAATTGCCTAGGCTCGCAAATCTGGAAACGGGGAAAGACATTTTTCGGCGAAACGTTTTATGAAGCCGGTCAATCTGAGTGGGTTTAGTGCTAGAGAATAAGGCTCAAGGCGCAGCAGTATGGTAGCGGAATATACAGGCTCATCAAGCACCACAGACTGTAAGCCGAAATTACAAGGTGCATTGTCGCATACAACCATCGTGATCCTGCGGACAAACCCCGGTACATCATTGAGGACGCTCCGCAATCACGAGCGAGCATTAAGACATCAGAACACCTTTTGTTGTATGATGCAGTTCAGTGCGATACAAAACGCGATGCTCAAATATTCTCGCTTCGCGTTCATGAAAGTCTTTAGTTCATCATCGCAAAGCGGGGCATGAGATTTAGATAGAC